CTTTTGGTTAAACTGTCAGCAAGGAATTTGCATTTGCACTGTTAAATTTTTATATAGTTTTAATGCACATAAAAAACAGCTGCTTGTTTGAGTGAAAATACATTGATGTTTGTTTGTTTTTTTTGCACTAATAAAGTTGTGGAGTTGTAAAGTATTTTGTCTAGTGTCAATTATATCATCAGTTATATCATTATTGCAAATTTTCAAATGTATATCGTGATAAATATTTTTGGTCATATCGCCCTGCTCTACTGCATAGTAAGTACCAGCTAGATGATGAAAAATGATTCGTATGAAGAGTTACCAGACACCAAAACACTGCTAAGTTAATACATTAGGACGAGGAGGGGGAAGTTGTCACAGTGGAAATGATTTTATTTCCTCTTGATGAGCATGAGAGGGGATAGGAGAAATTCTTCATTCAGGGTAAAAGGTAATTTAGTTGCATTATACACTTGACAGCACCTTGCCAGATGATACCGAGCCTCCACTGAACACTCCAGCAAAATAAATGAAGAGGCTGCATTATTCATGCAGAGCTAAAGTTGGTCTAAACAAAGCTTTCTTTCAGCACATAGAAGGCTTGGAAACTTTCACTCCTATTGCAGTGAAGTCAAGTTGAGTTTTAAAAATAATTTATATAAACCAAAATGACAAATTTGCCCCATTAAGCAAAACCGGACAGATCTCTGATTCAAATGAAGAAGGAGAGAAAAGTTTACAACTACAAATCTGCCTCACATCATCAGAGGTCAAGAGGCGGCTCGCAGCAGAATCTTAGCAACATGTTGGAGGTTTAAAGTCTCGCCTCACGGGCATCATGACGCTGACAGACTCATCGACGTGTGTGAAAAACCTGCGACCTTGAGGTTACAGTGCAATCTGTTCAACAACCGGGCCAGGCTGCTTTTTCGAATGCTTCCATTTTCATTACAGTGTTTAAGTGCTGGAAAATATTCTGGGATAATGACTGGATAAGCTTGCCTGGAATGTGAACTCTTAATAATACTTGCACAGCATGGTCTAGTCATTGCAAGCCCAAGTTAAATCCATTATCCACAACAAGCTAGAGCTAATATCCGGGCCCAAACAGTCATAATATTTGCATTTGACAAATGCTCCCACAGTTGTATCTGCCGTTTAACAACAACAACAGCTCTTGGGGATGTAAATTCTTGCACAGTGTGAAAATATAAAGCTATTCAGACTCCCTTGTGGAAACCTCCTACAGGGCTACCAGTGTGCGTTTTGATGTTGCTGAGCATCAAAACCCACGATAACGTGCATTCATGTTTTTATCACTTCTTTAAATTGCGAAAATGTAGATAAAAACTTTTGTGCTCTGAAGTAAATGATGGCTCTGCTTCAAGTGCGTTACCTGCATACAGCACACATATACACTCTCCAAACTGCGTCACTATATCTCCCGAATCACCTGTCCGGCACTCTATATCCAGTTCTCCAATGAGTAAGAGCCTGATATCCAATTCATGAGGCCCTCCTACTGAGAGTTGTTTGTAGCACATCAAGGACTGAGGTTTATGTAATGTTAGGGGATGAGTAATGAGGCACCATGATTTTCCTCTGCTCCACTGTAATGAATAACGGCATCCTTCTGTGGGAGTTTGCGCTCGCTTTGGAAGCAGTGATTATTTTAAATCAACAGAGAGCGGCGGGGGTTTTTCATCCACAAAGCGAAAAGATGTTAGTTTGATTCATGATGAACAAAAGTGAAGAAAAAGTAAAAGGAATAAAAGAGAACAGACGAGCTGGTGAAATGTTAGTAATTTCTTTAAGAGATCAGTGGCTTTTTGTTTTTGGCAATTAATGCAGTTCCTCTAACGATCACTCGCGTAGGACTATGAGTAAGACTCGCATCATAAAACGCTAACTTTACAGCAGAAAACAATCATGATTACAGCCTGTAATCACCACCTTCATCACAACTTTACCCTGGTGGATTTTCAGAAGCTTAAAAGTTACCCACTTTCTAGCACGTTCTAGCTCTGAAACAAGACTGCGGGGCTCTATCCATCTTTTAAAGAGAGGCTATGTTAAAAATTTCAGCTCAGGTTTGGAGAAAAGCACGAAAGGTCTATAAAAACGGTAAAGAACTGAACATTTTTCTTAATTAAAATTTCATAAAACATTTAATAAATGATAAATCTTTCTTTTTTGTGTTTGGGGAAAAATGCAGAATATTTGCAAGAGATTACTGAGCATGGAGAAAAATTATGGAGATGGTAAAGTGAGCTGGAAACGTCTGTATATACAGTCTGTTTGGCTTACTATATTAGAAAATAGGGAAAAAAGCAATCCAGTGAGTATTAGCAGATGCATACGCTGCATATGTATATGTTAGATAAGGGGGAAAAAATGATTACATTAAACTTCATTAATCCCCGAGGGGACAGGGAAAGTTAATTAAGAAGAAAATGTATGAATGGAATATGTAAAAACACGGACTTCAGCACTAACGGTATGCGGCGGAGTAGCTCTGGAACATAAATCTATACATCAGGAAGCTGGGAGTGAGGTCCCACATCAGTATGTATGAGTTTGTGTACCTGATGTTCTGCAGCCGTAGATCTCGAAGCGCATACAGATGCCTTGCTCCCAGGACATAGGGCGGATACGAATGTAGCGAGCCAGAGTGGGTTTGGGAAGATGGCTGCGAACTTCATCTGTGGGGTTGTCGTTCCCCAGAAAGGTCTAAAAATACAGGCACAGAAGAGCATCTGTTACTTTACTCATATTTACCCACTTCAACCGGGCCGCTGCAGTGACTGATGGGTTTAAAACTGTGTGGACTGTTTCCAGATTGGCTTCCATACATGACTTTGGAACTCATGTAACATTAAAGAAATGCACAAACGTTATGTATGCACGCATCACAGTTACTCCTAAATTAGGTGATTTTGCTGGGAGAAAGATTAAAGCGTGAGGGTGCAGGGGATGGTCTTTAAATAGAAGGAGAAAACCTGAGCAAAACAGCAGCGCTGGCAGGAATGTTTACTGCTATTCATCACAGTCGCTGCTAATCAGTACAGCTATGCACTGTAACACTGTAAGTGTTTGCTACTCCCACCAAAAGTGCAAATAAAGCTTCTGCTCTGGCTGCTAGCATCTCCACGATCGACAATAGAAATGAGTGTTCTTCCCAATAATACAGCTGCTACTACAGTAACACCACAGCTGCCTTATTGAAAATTATTTATTCGTTGCACATGGCTACAGCAAACTGTATTGATACTACTGGTACAACTGCCTGAGCTGCGGCCTTGTGGTTATGCAGACCTTTAAGAACTGAGCTTTCAGTGTGTTTTTGCATGACTTTAGATGATACTGTACTATCAGAGTAATTAGAATTTGGGAAAAACAACAAATAACACCTGAAACAATAAACCACGAATGTTCAGCGTGATGCAGATTTAGCGTAGAGTAGACGAGACTTTCTTTCGAAGCTTCGTGTTACACAGTTTGTCAGTATGTTGCCTAATTTCAGTCCCTAGAAGTTTATTTCTGCACCAACAACTTCCAGTGCCAGAATAAATGAATTCTAAACGTGTTAAAAGAAGTGGGATGCAAAGCAGACCTTCAGTGCACACTTTAGTTTAGGCATGCAGCCAGCTGCTGTAGCCTTGGAAAACATTGATTCAGCCATTTACCTCATTGATTAGAATGCAGGGTCCTTCATTACTTGTCAGCATTAGGTAGATGATCATTGTAAGAGAATAAGTGACTCATCGTTACCTTCTGCTTTGAGCCGTCCTTCACGGCGACCCAGTCCTCTCCGTTGGAGCTCAGGTCCACTTTGTATGTGCGAACGTAGTAGTGCTTCTTGGTTTCTTTTGAGATGGCACCCTGCGTCCCGATGGCTTTGACGAATCGTAGGAACCCCAAGTCCACCTGTAGAGACAACAAAGTCCAACGACGGGAAACGACTGAATCCTACAACTGTAACCAAGTGGAAATTCCAACATTCCAACATGCCGAAACCCCAGACTGTCTTTATGTATAATCTGTGGCTGATAATGAGAAATACGAGACCATTAAGAGTTGGGTTTGAAGAAGATTTGCCTAAAATTTTTAAACTGTTACTTATGTGATGGATAAACAGTAATAAAAGCAATCAGTAAAGGTGAAAAAAACATGTGAATACAGTACATAAACAGTGGAAATGTAAATGCATTAGGGTTGTTGAAATGGGTAAAAATCAAAATTAGCTAAAAATGAAACCGTTTTAGAAGTATTGTACAAACTGTTAGAAGAGTAAAAGTAAAAAGTGTGTGGGTGAAAGCCGTGGGGGACTTCAGAGACAAAAATATTTTAGGAGCGGCGATTAAAGGAGTGGATTTGTGACAGAAAACCCAACAGCAGATGCTTTTCCACTGAACAACAATTACTGTCAAAGAGCACTTAAGCAAGGAAATGAAAGCCTGTAGATTCAAAAGTTCTGAGTTTTGAGGCCCGATTTAACCCCAGTGCACTCAAGCATAAGATTGTGTTTCTTTGGGAAGAACTTAAAGCGTCAAAATGTGCCTGTAGTGAAATAAAGCAACTTGTTTTTGCAGAATTCAAGCATTTTCTGCAGGTTAGTTCTTGTATCTTGTAGAAAATATACAATAAGGACATAATATGAAAGCAGCACTGACTGGATAGGCTACAGTGTCTTGCTCTGTTTTACTTGAGGCATACGGGAAACAAGGACTCAGACCTCATTAATTACACTGTGATTCATCATTAACTAGACGGTGAAAAATCAGAGGAGGATGCTGGAGAGATATGCCACCCCATTTGTAAACTCAGACACATAACCTAATGAGAAAAAGTTTACAGAAACATTAAGCTGCCACTTGTTTCTATGAGTAAAATGCTGGCAAGTGTTATAAGTAATGAATACTCACTTTCTACAAATATGCACTTAAAGACAGTGAGAGGAGGCATCGATGGCTAAAATCATCTCTCTTGTTTTAGCTATTAATCCTAGAAGTTACTTCAGATTTTGACGTTTCTTTCATTTATTGTTTGATTGAATTTGACTGTTAGACGCAACATGTCAGAGCTTTCTCATTAACAACAATGTAAAATTTCCCCACGAAGTAATTTAGCATGATACACGATTTACGTCTAAAACTGTCCACACGCCTGACAGTGTGCGTTTGTAGGAACTCATGACTACTTTTATGGTCGTCAGTCTGCATTACTACTAACTAGTGTGTGACATGCGGGGTTGGTTTTAAGAAATTGTGTTAAACCAATAACTGAAAGCAAAGAATAAATATGTAACTCGACCACGGGCGGGCTGAGGGGCATGTCAGCTCGAAGGGAATTAACAGTAAACCGCTGTATTACTCAAACCTACTACAACAGGTGCTGAAGATGTTTTTTTGGACTAAATAGCAAAATAAAGACCAGTCAGGAAATATAAGGAGTTAGCTAAAACACTTTCTTTTTGGGAGCTGTCTTGTTGTTAACAGTAAAGTTCTTGATCCACTTTAATCTTAAAAACTGAGACCTTGGTCGACAACAAGGCGATTTGCAGTAACAGTTTTTAAAAAAGCATGATGTGTCTGGGGCTTTCTCAGATTGACTCTGAGGCTACACTGACTAAGCTTACTGTCATGTGTCTGTCTAAGTTAAATTATCCAGTATAGCAAACAACGACAAACTTCCCAGAAATCCTAAAAATAGAAAAGAATGTGAAATGAAAATGATTCAATCACGCTTGAAAATCCCCCAAATGGGAACATAATATTGTGTAACTCAATTTTTCCTTTTAACTAGTACAGAGTCTGTTCTGAGAGATTGTAACTATGACGTACAGATGTCCTTAACGTGCACGCAGTCATTAAGTTTATAGGTTTGACAAGAGGACTCATGAAGAAACGCTCACTGAATGCATGCGTGTGATTGGTCTGTTCAAATGTGGCTGCACAGAGTGTGCAGACCTGGGGTTGTAGCTTTCTCAGGGAATAGCTAAATTGAGAGATAAGGCACTTGGCGATAAATGTAGGGTAGGAGGTAGATTTAAATTAAATGTGGTTTAAAGGTTACACATTTTTTTTGCAGCTGGAGAATAGAAAGAATCACTTAAAGCTTTGACATATAAAAAATAAAAGTGGCTACGTCAGATTTAAGACACCTGCTGTAGGGGCAACACTGGCCACACAGAACAAATTAAAACATAAAAACAGCTCATCCAGACAACTTCAGATTCAGCACCGTGCTCGCTACGATACGGAGCAACACATCCAACGAGTTCGAAGAGGATCAGATAAGCATTTGTCGACCTAAACAGACAGTAGGACAGCTATATGCAGATTTCTCAAATTATTAGCAAGAATCTCAGAAGCGATCATCTTTTTTCAACCACACATTTTACTCGATCAAAACGGATCTCCTGGCGATACGTTTCCCCCAAGTTTCTTTCACGAAATTATGATCTAAGGGCTAAAAAACCAGATAAAAATAATTTTTCAGATGGCGGAAGTTGGTTTTTTTGTTTTTTATCTCAATGCAGCACAGCAGCGTCCAGAAACACGGCTGTTCAAAATGCTGAAAAAGGAAACGATAAAAAAGGAGATTAAGAAGTGATAGTTATCATCAAAGAGAGCAGCAGTGATAACAGAAAGTCTCACAGTGGTCTATAAATGTCCACACTAACGCTTATCTTAAATTAAGATTTCTTATTTCACCAACACACAGATTCGTGTTCGTCACATCGAGTTTCTCCAAAGTTTGGAAACGATTTAAATGTGTAATAAAGACTTTCTATGAGGCTTCCATTTAATTCCTCTTAAACTCAGTCGCTTGTTTGTTGAGTTTCTAAATTATCAGTTGCATACCAAAATACACTCTATATGTGGGATGGCTATAATATATGGTGTGTAATTATATTACCATAGAGACACTGCAGCTGTGATATTGTACATGGGAAGACCCCAGAAGTCAGGATTTGACTTCTCCCACTGTTTCCTTTTAAGGAGAAGAGCGGAGAATAGCTTCCCGCAGGTCTTTGTGGGATGTGTAACTGACAGGGAGACCCCTGGGAAACGATACTTTGTGGGATTACTTGACGGCGCTCCCAGCTCTGTTCTCATCTAAATTCCCACGAGACGTCTCACCCACATACACTATGCATACTGTATGTGACCGAGAAGCTTTACACAGCAGGATTTTGTTGTGAAATCACAAACAAGCTACCAGATCTGCTCTGACTGAAGAAGTGAAGCACATCGGGGAAGGTTAAGTCAGAGGGCACCCTTAACTGGAAAAACTGGTACCAATTTAAAATTATTAGGAAATGCATAATCCTAAAAGAAGGTTTGTTTTAATAAAGCTCATTTTAGCTAGATGTTTAAAAAAAATTGCTAGTGCTGAAAGGATTTCAAAAATATTAATTTCTGCTAAACTATCAATAGTAGGTGTCACAGTCATTTCTGTGTTTCTGGAGCTGTGACTTTGTACTTAATGGACACTCATATACGGAGAAATTTATCTGAGATTTTGCCACAGCAGCCTGCAGTTAATGGTGTGCTTTCTTGGCCAGGCGTCCCTTAGAAAGGAGATTTCAATCTCAAGAAACTTTCTGATTAAATAAAGGCTTAAATTAAGAAAGGCTGGTCTTGTAATAAAAACAGAAGGTAAGTCAGTACACTGGGAGGTGAGGAGGTAAGTCATGAATACTGCGTGTAGGATAAATGTTAATTCTAGTGTAACATAATAGATATCAATACGTTTTGTAAAAACCTGACTTGAGAAATCGACATATTCTCATTCCCAACTAATCATATTACGGAAACGTTGCCATTTTTCATCATAGTTTTACACAAAAAGTGCTCCCAATTTCCACTGTGAGGGAGGAAGTACCAGAAACCTACAGCAGTTTGCAGTAGTTGGTTTTTGGAGTGGTGGATGGGACAATCCCACAGCCTCCAACCAGAAGACAAAAGTCCAAATCCTGTCTGGGATTTTACTTTTGTTTTGACTTTCGTAAGCCCATGAAAGTACATGGTTTGAATTAAAGTACACCCTTTCACAACTTTAATCACATGTTAAAAGGTAAACTTCTATCTACACTACAAGTGACTTCATGTCCTACAGTGAAAACACTGCCAGACCACTTTTGGCTGCGGTCTCATTGCGTCTGTATCTCCGAGGGACTCGTAATGAACTCCATCTGGTGACCATGCATGTTCAAAAATGATGCTACAGCATGTTAAAATATGATGTCTGTGGGTCCTGACCAAACATCTTGGGTATAACAACGGGTTAGAGGGACTGCTATTTCCCTGTAGTGCTAAAGTTTCTTCTGTGGCAAAAACAATATTTGACACAAGAGCTTTTAAAGAAAAGGGAGACCGTTTACTTAAGATTAAACAAAGTGTTTCAGGAAAACCATCTACAGCCATCCTTTGGCCAGCCATTGCTGTCATTACATGTTTTCTGCAGCGGTCGGCCATAACTCCATTCTCCAGACTTCCTCCATCAAGCAACCAAGGGTAATTGCTCTTCCATCTTCTAATTATTCAACACTTGGCAGTGCCTACCATTTATGCCACAGAAAATGGTCACACTTAGAGCTTTTTAATGAAGGGAACAAAATGCAGGAAGGGGACATAACTCGAGCTGAAGTGTGGCTAAATGAGATTGAACAGAAACTCTGTTACTTCCTGCCAAAACAGGATACTGCTTTTAGAGTGATAGAGAAAGAATGAGCGTCAATTATTCCATTGTCATCTGAAGTTTTTAGTTTTTACTTAGGAAAGTGGAGGCCTGTGGTGATGCAGCTGATTGCAGTTTGTTTTTATGGATAAAAAAGATAATTAGATGGTTGGAACATGTGGAAAACTACACAACGACCTAAATATTAATTTTATTTTCATATATTTACCAAGGTTTTGTCC